CATTCCTTGATCAATAACCTATCACAAATTCAAGTGCTATGGGAGATGTACAGACAATACGATTACAGTAGAGATATTAATCGTGTAAAGACACATTCACAGAAACGTTGACCCATGATATTTTCGATTAGGCTCCTTTTCAAAAGAAGTTCTTCTTTAAAAAATCAGCGCTTATTACACAAAGTAAAAGCAGGAGAAAATGTTTCAGATAAAATCTATATTATGTAGATGGAAACTTCCCAACTTGTTCTCCTTACATATTCATGAAAGGAAAAGGAGTGGCATACTAAAAGAAATAATAAACGCGGTGAAAAACATTGCATACCTTTTTGTTTGCTTTGTATTGATCATTATAACATATAAACTTGTTTAAATAGTTAAATGGGCAGCTTAGGAATTAATACCACAATTGAGAATAAAAATAGAATGGCAACTTTGTAAAATACGATAACTCTAACATAACTCCGAACCAATATCTGTGACGAATTCAAAATCTTACTCATTTTACTCACTAGGTGGTCCTTCAGGTAATCCAAAGCCTGAATAATGCTAACGGACATTTTTCCGATATATCCTTCAGCAATTCGAATTCCCAAACGATTTGCACTACGCAAAAGAGTATGAAGAGACGAAGCCATCACTTCCATGCATACTTTAACACTTGTCTGCAATCAAATTTCCACATGTTTCGATCATGCATGAAACAAAAATCGAAAATTTTTGCAAGATATTATCAAAATAGAAAACAACGAAAAAGCTAAAGAGCTAAATGAGTACATGAGTGAAGTGGTACCTCTGATATAAAATAACCATAGCATAAGACTATATGATGGGAGGCATCAGCGCGTGAAATAACATCCAGATCCATAATAATTCGTTTATTGTCTTCTTTATCGGAAGTCCGAGCCATTTCCTAAACAGTTCCCTTTCAGGACATGCAAGAAACAAATACGAGAAATAGTGCCAAAAGCAAACCTTAACAGCCATAACATGACCCCTATAACTCATTTTGGATACACGTCCACAACTGCCACTGCCTATCTCAGAAATTAGTTCTAAATCTCGGAAGTCTGCCTTGACAATTTCACCTTAAATTCACTAAAATTAATGGTAGCAAGAAAAATACTCAACTATTTACCATTCAGTCGCAAAATTCCAGAATTTCTTTTAACTGCTTCATACCGCCGTTCAATCTCTTCGAGCTCACGTTTTTCTTGGCTCGGACCATTGAAATTGAGAGTAACTGGAAATATATAGAAAGTGAACAGTCATCAACAGTGTAGCAATCAATACTTTCAGTAAACTTCAAAGAAATGGAAAGATGTTTCAGCGATAGCTCGGTGGATAAAAAGGATAAGTTATCGGTTAGGAAAAAATTGGCTGAAAATTGCTGTTAATTAGAACTAGCATCCTATTCTTGAATCAACACTTCTCATTGAAAAGTGGTTGTTAGATAGTTAGTTAGACTAAAAAACCTTCTTACTGGCCAAGGAAGATTGATATCATCTAGCAGGAAAAAACAATTGCGCAAAGTATGTATGCGAGATACAGAAAAGAAGGCAAGACTACAACTTTTGATGCAGAAGATATGTAAGGTAGTTGATGTTGTGTCTTTTATATTTTAGTTCATTATTCTTACGATTTACTTTCTATTAAACAAGAGGCGAAAAATACACCTGATCAAACTAAGTTCGCTAGGGATAGAAAAATCAATGAGTGAAAAGCGAAAAGGCAAGCTCATCCTTTGTTTTTCTGAACTTTGTTTCTACTACTAGCTATAGATTGTAAGCCTCAGATCAATAGAAGGTGTTGCTGGGAAAGCGTTTTGCAAATTAGGTGATGATAAACAAGTATGTGAAGCTTACAAGCCTTCCGAGCCATTGGACTCGAACGACAGCCAACAGGAATTACGTTTGAAGCACGATGCGTTGGTGTAGCGCTTGTTGACGGTGCTGTTGCTAAAAGCAAATAAGCAAAAAAATAACATAAGAACATGAAGGAAACTGTTGTAAAAGTAGGAGCAAAATTAAAGAGTTCATGCACACTTGCTTAAGGAAAAAATCTGAAGGCTGATATGTTACAACAAACTTTGAAACATTATGTATTAGAATGTTTAAGAAAAAAAACAAAATGGAAGAAAAAAAAGGAAGTCATTACCAGTGAAACGTTTAGGATCAGATGACGCGGACCTTCGCGGAGGTATCAAATGAGCCGAATCAACGAAGCCAAATCTGAGCTGTCTCCATTTCCGAATCCGGTTTTCGAACT